TAATCAATCAAATTGCGTTGCATATATTACTTTCATGTATCTAGCAGTAGTCATATGTTGAAGTTGAATAAACAATACATAATGTTTGTATAGTTTAGACTGGAAATGATAGACCTAAATTGTTTTTAAATTTTCATGCTTAAGTTTTGGAATATTATTTATTCAGCACCATTTGAGATCGAAGGTTTTTTCAGAAGATTTTCAAATCGTAATGTTTACTGCTTCTCTTATCCTAACGATTTCGAGAAAAATATGCTACCAAAACGAGTAAACACTTTGGTTTGGGTGTACAACATTTTCGAGAGGGTGCCTGATAGCAATAAATAATCTGAAATATTGTTTGGGGCTACTTTTGACAACATTAGGTTTTCATTCAAGACATAAGACACATCTACTCACACCATCTAGTCTTTCGAATGTTATGCATTTGGCAATAAAAATGTTTCTGAATCAATGATTCTGCTTGACCCGAGGCAATGTTGTTCAACTTTTGAGTCAGACTAAGAAAAACTGAGATGACTCAAACTCACCCATCGCTGAAATAAGCTAATTTAGAGTGATTTTTATAACTAGAAATCAGTTTGTTTCCTTTTAGTGTAAAATGAAAATTGATTTCCTGATATTTGTCTTATTTCAATACTTTCATTAAATACACACAAAAAGCCCACTCTACAGATAAGAACTTTTCTCACATAATGGTATTGATTTCTTTCCAGAGAATATTTTCTCCAAAAGCTATTTGATCTTCAAATAAGATAATAAATTTATTTTACTTATACAATAATCAATGCATTAGTGCAAAAGGAAAATAATCTCTGAAAGATTTGGAATAATCGTTTTCGAATAAATAAATGAAATTTATTTTGACACAATTAATTGCGTCTCATCTCTTGTTAAATTGTTTTGCTCTTTCTAATGATTTATAAGCTTGTTTATATCTTTGTGATTGACAATTAATTAAAGATAATTTTTATATGAATGGAAATGATTGAGAAATTTGAATAGAAAACTGATTTTCAAAAGAATGTTCATCATAGAAGGGTTACTAAACTTATTCAATTATTGCGTACAATTGAAAATATTTTTCTTCAAATAATTTCCATCAATAAATGTATCACTAATATACATCGTAAGATAGAAATCAAGTTTTTCTAAGTATGACATTCGACAAAGAAGTGGCAGAATTAATTCATCATAACATGATATTTTGCAAGCACACAACAGAATAAAACATTTGAAATTTGGAATTTTCATCTAAAAAAATAAAACAAAAACGATGCAATTTATATTTTCTGTTAGTTCTGTTGAGAAAGTAATGATAGCCAAATCAACAACGAGTGTACGAAATTTAATGAAACGACCTTCAAGAAGATAAAGACACTGTGAGGAGCTTTGAATCTTAATATTTAATACCAAAATACTTCATGAAGAAAAACTTCAAGATGGAGCATCAAATAATAAACGGGCAATATTTTCATATCATATGGTTCAGACAATATTAAATATGTTCAATTGATAAATACAGAAAAAATAAGATTGCATAGTTTTACTATTGTAAGCAAATCTTTTCTTTTCCGATCAATTGCTGCAATAAGCCATGTTATTTGGATTTTAAAAATACCAGATGAAATAATTTCTTCAAAACGTATAGATAATATACAATTATTAATCAGAAAAGATTTATATATCAAAGATAAACACGAATAGCAAATAGGTTAAGATAATATTTGACAGAAACAAATTAGTTTGAGAAATAATCTCACTTTTCTGTTCATTGTTTTATCTAAGAAAAACTATTTAAAAAGCAACAAGCATTATTTTTAAAATATTGTACTGTACAAATTAAGGATTTTTTTGGTTACATTCATTTCTATAAATTTTTATTGAAGTATAAATTAGAAAAGTTCTTTCAAATATTTAATGATCTATTTAACTCTATTAATAATTTCAGAAAAATATTCGTATTTGTTTAAAGAAATATTTCATTTATTTAGAATTAAAAGAATTCAATTCAGCTTTACTTACCGGGAAAACAACGATGTCTAACTGTCTTTTCTTTGATATTATACAGGCCGAGTTCATAGAAGTTATAGAATAGTCTGTAGCATGTAGAATCATCTTTTTTGTTACAGATAACGATGATGATTCAAGATAAACCATTTGATTTTCATAGAAATATCAAGTACGACATTAGAAGAAAATTTGTAAAGGAATTTCTTAGATGAATTGACAATATTCAAACAATTTGCAAATATTGGATCATGTATAACTTTATTCAATTGTTTATTAATACCATGGAAAATATAAAGTATATCAGCATTGTAACGTTATTTGAAAATGATTAGAAGAATTTCATCGGTTAAATCACGCAATTTGATGCTTGAGTATTCCATCCCAGGCCGAACATTCCGGCCACCGAACCCCGTAGGATACTCCAGGAAATATGCGGGAAAGTCACCATATCCTACAGGAAAACACTGAAAATCGTTGGAACATGGAAGCAGCATATCCGGTCAAAAAGAACGCCCGACTTTTTCGGCGGAATACTTCTTTCACAAAGCCAACGGAACTACCCGGAACCGACCGTTTCCAGGTCGGACTGTTCGACCTGGGATATTTATCTTCATGTATCTATTTGTTTGAATATGGATGTTAATCCTATATTCGCTCGTATTCAGGCACACCTACGTACACCCACCTTGAGTAATTAAATTGAATATAACGAGTATGCGATCAGAAGTAAACTGTATAAATACTGCATTGAAGTGGCAAATTGCTTTGAATGTTTGAATGGAATTGGTATCGAGAAACTCTAGTAAAATAATGTTATAATAGACATGCTGAAGTACGTGAAAGTGATATAAAGTTTATATTTATTATGGTAGGTAGTACCGTCCATTAGAAGTAAAGTTTAAATAAATCTGGTACACACCACAGATGAATGTAGTATAACATTTTTAGTCTTCCTTTCCTGCGTTATTCTGTTTTTTATCTCCCTGTTGATTGAAGCCAGGACAGAATCAGAGTTAATAAGTTTCCCTGTACCTCTTTTGCCCTTTTCCATACTCATTTTTTGTATACAATTTACCGCAGAATCGACTCAATCACATCTTTATATTCAACATCTTATCTAAGAACAAAACATTAGCTATTTACAGTTTCATACGGCAAAGAAATTGTTTTGATTAACTATATAATCTGTTTCTTCTCAATCCTTATCTAATAAAAAATGACATGTAATATGTGTGATTCTCTCGCATTGTGTTCTTTTAGTGAATCAGTTCGATCTATTGAGAAGCATGTTTTATTTGTATATTGTATTTCTCATAAGAATGTTACATTAGGCAGAAGAGTTTACATGTAAGACCATGAAAATCAAAATCTGAAATTCAGCATGCCTTGTGATAATTCGAGTTTCGTATGCAGCATTTTTCACTATCATTATATTCTCCTTAAACATACTACTCCATTGTTTTAAAATGTATAGATTCCATGAATTAGAAAGGCTTCCCAAAGATACTTTCAGTATACAAAACCTTATAGAACAAACCCACACAAGCAATCGATAATATATATATATATATATTCAGCATGTTTTCAGCGCATATATTGACTGATAAAAACTATTTTTAGGTAGAGTCTACTCATGCGCACCGTTTTTTGATTGATTACTCATATAAAGACATTAAACGCTGTTGATAAAAAGAAGAAAAAGAAGTTGTCTTTTCATTATGCATGCATATGTGGTAACTTTTATTCACCAATATAAACACACATGTCTAATAAGTTTTCTTTTCCTCCTTATTTGTAATTATTATAGATTGCAATATTAAAGTGTCACGCATCAGCGTTCGTCATTTTCTAAAAGTAAGTTGTCCATAAAAAAATACTATTGCTTGCTTGAAACTAAGCTATTATTGAACAGAATTATTCATGAATATAGTAGTACGTCTATCTTTATTATTTATTCAGAATCTTTTTTCGGTTTCTAAAAACCTTAGTTAAACGTGAGTTGTAGAACCTCATAGTATAGTCATCATAGTTTTAAAGTTAAACATTGATTTACATTCTTTCTTAATTCTACTACGAATTCTAATAAAATCACTATCATTTCTTCACGTGTTGTTAACAAAAGACTTTTTTTTTCTCTTAAAATTGAATATCACGTATTTAGAAATCGCTTATTTTAAAAACGTTTCAGATTGATATCAAATTGTGATAATCTATCAATGGGTATTGACATCATAAGAAGTTAACTATTCATTTATTATATATGCATGAAAATGTACACTTTTGTCACTTCAAACTGACTCATAATACTGCTAACGTTTCAGTTTTTCTTCATCTTTCATTTGAATCTTTCTGACGACGATAATTTTGCATATGTCTAAGTAGTGAATTGTGAGTATTTCAATTCTGTGTTGTTAACAGTAACATGAGTGTGAAGATTTTCTGGATTTTGCATTAGATGTTTCCATCCTTGTCCAATAAAGTTCGACCATATTTGCGAAGTATTGTCTGGTTAATTTTCATTTATAAAACTAATTCCTCAAATCAATATTCTTTTTGTGTTTATTACTTAAATGATTATGAAACTCTTGAAAAATATAGCACGACATACATCTAGTTCCACAAATTCATTCTTGTGATCTACCCTAATTTAATGGCACATATTTGAATGGAACAGTGGATGAAATTAGAGTATCTTTAACATGAAAATCTACAGTAAAAGTTCATATGGTATATACAAGTGCTAATTCAAGGATGATTCGAAAAACTCACTTTCTTTGGGTCACTCATGATATTAAAGGGAGTTATCTTTCATCATCTTTATGTGTTTTATGCATAGCGCTTAGTAACAATGTCCAGAATGAAAAAGCTTACTTCTGTACTACTGCAGTATGCTTTTCCTTACTTAAATTCTCTGCTGTTTTTATTAAATGCTCTTTATCAAATTATTCTACTCTTTATCTAGATAACTATCACGCAAATTTAAAACAATGCAATTTCCATCTCCTTACGAGCATATTCTTCCTACAGATATCCCATGCATTTCGTCACCACCACTACCTGATCAATTCAACGTAAAAGATCGAATAAGAGGATCAATGCTAGGTCTCGCTACAGGTGATGCCTTGGGAGCTAGTGTGGAATTCATGCCACATCAACACCTTCTCGCACATCCTGTTAGTGATATGCAGTCTGGTGGTACATGGGGTCTCAAAGCAGGACAATGGACAGATGACACCTCAATGGCTCTCTGTCTCGCTTCATCGCTTATCACTACAGGAATCTTCGATCCTTATAGCCAAATGGTTCGCTACAAATGGTGGTACAAATATGGATTCCTTTCATCGACAGGATACTGTTTCGATATCGGTAAAGCCACTCGCAATGCTCTCAATATATTTTCACAACGACAAAAAATACTACAGCAAGCTTTCGGTTTACATAATGAAATTCAAGTTGATAGTTTGTCATTCAAAGATGTCGGAGAAGTTTCTGCTTTCGATGTTAATTGTAGTGGGCCAGATGTTGCTGGAAATGGTTCGCTAATGCGTTTGGCACCAGTACCTCTCTACTATTTTCGAAACCCTGCATTGGCCGTCGAACTTTCCGGTCAAAGTGCTCGTCTAACTCATGGAAGTGAGAAAGCAATCGATGCGTGCCGTTATCATGCGGCTCTGATTGTAGCAGCACTTCGAGGTGAAAGCAAAGAACAACTACTGAATAAACAATTTTACCATAATCATAGAGCGTGGTTCGGTGTAAAAGATCTTTGTACGGAAGTATTGCATATAGCATTAGGATCCTATAAAAAACCAGGTGGCTATGAAATGGGTATTCGAGGCAGTGGCTATATTATTAAGTCCCTCGAGGCCGCATTATGGGCGTTTTGGAGTGATGAAAACTCGTTCCAAAACGGTGTTCTGGCTGCAGTCAATCTTGGAGATGACACTGACACTACAGCCGCTATTTATGGTCAGTTGGCAGGTGCCTACTATGGTGCAGAAAGTATCTTACCGAAATGGTTGAAACAACTCTATGCTAAAGATTTTATCATTTGTATCAGCGATTGGCTATACTATTTCGGACAACAAAGTCATTCAACCGTTCATATGAAGAATAATATGTACTACCATGTTCCAACACAATTACATAAAAAATATTCAAATCCTCCTATTAGTATGCGTCGTGGTATGTTCCAAAGCGTAGTTCCTCGTCAAGCCCATAAAGCAAAGAATTATGATTCTTACTTAAGAGATCATTTGCCAAATCCTCCGATGTGGACATTTAGTCAAGCACACATTCGACCTCAATATCAACAAAGAGCTGCTAATCACTGGGCACCATATTCTAAAATCTTTCAACGACCATTTTACAGCGGGCAGTTTTAAAATACTGACAACTTTAGAACCCCTTACTTTTAATGTAGCCGATACCTAGTCTTCATACGCTCATAATTTGTCAATATTCAGAACATTTGATTAATATGTGTGATTTATTTTGAGTGTGCTTTTGGTGTGACCATCGGAGACGCTTACAACAACGAAAAAGAGAAAATAGTAGCAAACACAAGAGCAAAATGAAAGAACTGCAATGACTTCGAGTTCAGCGCAAGGGAAGAGAAGAGAAAATAATCTAAAAAGAAAAATGACACGATGAACAGTTATGTACTAAACACAACGGAACTTTTAACCTAAAAACATATAGAACATTGCAAGGCTGGGGTAGAACTTGGAAGGGAATGGAGCGATGGAGCCTATTTCATCGCTTCGAATATTCTTCCAAAAACTTAATCTAATGAATCAAATTGGATTCATGTCTCTCAATCATCTTCTTCGTCCTCTTAAGTCTAACAAACTGACACACCTATATATTATGTCATTTCTTCTCTTGGTCTATAATCATTATCATCGAATAAAGCCCACTATGTCTTTTTTCCCAAGTATGTTGTCACATACGTCTCTTAGCTACTTTCGTTCATGAGCTGTGAAAATTTACGTCGTAGCAGCCGATAGGCATCTATGCATTAATGTTATTCCAAGTCTAAATCCACGTGTGTGTCAACAAAATAAACCACCATATCAACAGCAACGCGTACACATCTTCATTATTTTTTAAATTAGTAAAGATTAGTAAGGACGAATTATTTTTTTTTGTCAGAGATACATTTTCTTTGATTTGTACAAGATATCGAGAATTGCGACCTGCAGTAAAACAGTCCGCTTATTCATGAATATTGCATGTATCCTTGAATACAATAATGTTATAATCGGCATGTGAATCATTTTCATCTTATTTACAGTATAGTGGGCACAAAACTACTTAGCAAATCGGTGGCACGAAATGATTAGATGAATAATTCTATTCAAAGTACTCTATTCAGAACCATTCATTAGAAATATATTCTATACTTAATAATGTATTTATTAAAAATGCACAAATGTATATTCTGCTCATATAAACACAATGAATCCTCGGGTAAAGAAAGGTAAATTATAATGGGCAAAAACGATACTCTAATCGCATCTATAAATATCTTTGTATGCACAAGAATACTATACATTTCTAGATTCATTTTTTGACTGTCAGCGAAACGATAGAATAACTGATTGCTATGCACAGAGTAATCATTTATAAACTATTCATAGTAGCCAAAGGTAAGTGAAACTTCATATAGAAATCGACGAATTCCTCTCCAATGCAACAACGATCAGTCAAATATTGTGAAGTATTTTTTGAGCTGCACGACAAGCATTTTGAGTGCTTTCGTACGATATTGGAATACATAACAGTCAAGTAAATGTTCGAAGAAACTTTGTAACGCTACATCTTTGAAATTATTCTCGACGCTATAAAAATCAACTGCAAAGCTCGTGTTTTTTCGAGCTCAACGAATTCTAAAATAATTGATCATTTTGTTCAAGCAAACTAAAGTGGTTCTTCTAATTCTCAATCTATCAAATTAACTTTTACTTTCTTAACATTCTAGAAGCTGTTCCCGAAGTCAGATTTCAATTTTGTCAATCTACAGGTCTGTACTATTCTTTGTTTGTAATTTTAGATATAAGATAAGAATGCAAATCAGCACACTCCTAGTATTCGGTCTTCTGGCTACCATATTATTTGCTTTGTCGATCGATGGAAAGCGTATGTTTGCCGATAGTGACGACGACGAAGCAGCACTGGCTGAACTGAAGGCTCGTATGATGACAGCTGAAGATGACAGTGATGATGACTCTCATCAACGACGTGCCAGTACAAAAGGCTGTGTCAGTTGTGCATTAAAAGTGTTCGATTGTTGTGCACCTAATGTATGCGTCAAACGATTTCTCAGACCCAATAAATGTATGAGAATCAAGGCCTAATAGTAAACAATAGGAACACTGAAGACTTTTTATGATTATATTTTAATGTATCTTACTCAGTCCATATATATTTTACTTTATCATTCGTCATTAAAAAATACAGCGTAGCACTGTCTTTTATATTTTGTTAATGCGGAGTGTTTATGCTCGCTCATAGAGTCCATGAACTATTATCTATCATTCTCGGGTCAGTCGCTCGAGTATAGCATGTTTAACAATATCTGACTACACAGAAAAAAACAAGGCCAAATTGTTGATACAATCAGCTTAACACATTTTGGTCCATGAAATGTTACGTCATGCTATCGTGCCATTAAACATAGACGAATAGTTGGGTCTACGACAATTGGTCAGAATACTTAAAAATACAATCACAAAAAGAAGCGCTATTAGTATATTGTATAGAAATAACTTAGAAAGATTCAGCAAGTCACTAAGAATCTATTCAAAGATAAGGAACAATCATATATGAAAGTAAATACGATTTTTCAGTAAATTATTCTATTCGTACATGAAGCATTACATCAGGCAAGGGAGAGCCAACTAATTTCTAATGCTAGAAATCGTAGAGATCACTAGAAAACTGTTTCACCCCTTGCGTCTATCTTTTATTCAATATTTTGTAGACTCTTTTCTTTTTTGGTATTTGTGTATTTATGAATACTTAGGAATTCGTTATACATAGAGAAAATGTTCCTAACGGAGACGCAATAAGTGTGATTTATATTATTCTACTCGATGTGCAATCATTTGATATTCAATTGAGAATAGACAAGAATCCTGGAAATGTGATCTTTCTAATAATATTACAACAGATTCATTCTACAAAAGAGTACTCGAGAAATTATCGAACTCTGATAACTTTCTCGGTGGGTTCTTATTAAAGGTAAACTTCGTTTTAAACGATTTTCTATTTTTATGCTTAAAGTTGGGCAACCCAACAAAAACAAAACTTATTTATGATGAATCCTTGGATTACGATAGAGCATGATATACACTTCTAAAATGCCACCAAGGTCTTCGTTATATTCCTGACAAAAATACTGAGTTTCTCTATTAGTCACCATGCATAAAAATGCATTTAACAGACGAAATCCATACCTACAAAAAAGTAAAACAGTTGGCAATTTATATTGGTGAGCGCTATGATTATTCATGTATTTCGGTTGTTTTCACTCGACAGAACGATCGAAAACGAGTCTATGGGGTATTCCATTTCAAACTGAATTCAAAACAGAAAAAAATACCTGCACTTTTCAAAACACCTAGAACTTAGCGGATCCTACAACAACACCAAACAATTCGATATTGACCACAATCAAGGCAGTTTATCCAAGAAAATGTCACTATAATCTATTCAGAAACGAGATTCCATATGCTCATACCGCAGCGTAACTACTCAGCCAAACATCTTATCACCTGAAAACAACAAATACTTCGATGAATTCTCCATTCAGAGTTATAAATTCATATATGTGTATGTTCCCCTATGGATATGTTTTTTTTCTAGGATGGGGGGACTTGGTCTGGATTTTATGTGTTGTAGGGGCTCCCAGTAAAGTGCTTAGGCTACATTTGCTTAGGAACTAGACTCGATGCACATGTTTGGGCTTAATGGGCGTATTCAAGCGAATTGATTTAGTGAATCGGAATAATATCGGAATTCGATCGATTCGTGTTGGATTGAGAGGGAAACGGAAAAATATCTGTGAGAACTTGCTGTTATCCGGCCGCATTTATCATTGAAATATGTGTGACTAGACTCCACGTTTAGAAAATTTCAAATTAAGTTTTGCTTGCGTGAATTCAGGGCTGAGAATGTGATGATAACAACTGACGTCATCCGACAGTTCATCCAGTATCATGTTGTTAGATTCATGAAAAAAATCCTACGAAAATCTTTATCTATGAAATCTTACATCAAATCTGACGCTCAGATTCTTGAAAAATGTAACTGAACTGTAAGATATGACTCGAAGAGTAAAGGGAACAGTGAGATATTTCAATGACTCTCATTCTAAGAATTAAGCTGAGGTTGCAGAGAGAATACTTTTTAGCTTGATCATATCTGATGTTGAAAGATCTTATGGTTGATTTTCTGAACTGCGTTGTTGGAATAACACTTTACTTAGTATATTAATATCACACAATTCTCCGTCTACGTCCGAAACACACATGTATATTAGCAACGAGGATGGCAGAGAGGATGAAAGCAAATATGAACGATCGAAGTAGAGGAAACTATTGCTGGCAAAGTGCGGACATTTCGATTACGAATGCCGACTCGCTAGTACGAGAATGAGTGCCAAACCTCCAATACCAGTAATAGTGCCAGTACATATCTGACTTATGAATCACAAGTTCTTCACTAGCGCTCTTGTTTGCAAGCCTAAAACATTAACCAACAACAAGACTTTATTTTATTTGAGAAATATTAGGAAACATGCAATTTTGAAGCTAACGCGGAGCGATGGTGCATTAAAAATCCGCTTTGATGAAATATTCTTACAAAAAAAAGCTAATGTAGGTGGTACCGACAAGTATTTCAGATGAAGTTCATTCAAATAAGGTTAAAGAATCTTCATATGAAAAAGAAAATTACTTTCATTACTTTTTCCAAGGTAAAAGGATAAAGTTCTACTATACCTTTTGAATTCTCATAAGGAGCAAATATGTTCATTTCATTCAAGTAAGGAAAAAAGTATTGGATATACAACTTGACTCAGCTAATGGAAAGCAGCATATTCAGCTACCTTAGTTCATCATATCACGCTTTTTGTAACAAAGGAAAAGTCTATTTTGAGAAAAGAAATTGCCAAAAGAAGTATTACTCTTTCCGATACACGCAACTGTACCTTAGCCTGGCGATTATCTAGCCATAAAACTTAACATGCGCATTTAGAATATCCGTAGCAACAAAAAGATGATGAGAGAAAAGTTCACATATAAAATAAGAATGAATTGGCACGAAAATTTTGAACTAGCGTTAGCGTCTGAATAAATATAAGCATGAAAGCATACAAAGAAATGACAAGGATAACGGGAAAAGTACGTAGGAAGTGCTAGCGACTACGATGACCGACGAAATTAGTCTCGTTGCCGTAAGAGGGAGGATCCCTATTGAAAACGATATTGTACTACAAGACAGACGGACAATCTATTACGAACATGATAATGAGACACCACGGTTGTATCATAACACATGTCCTGCGCATGAAATTAATCACTGAGATTAAAGAAAAGCAAGTAATCGCATTCGCCAAACAATCCGACAGTAGACTTCCAATATAACTCGCATGAATCAGAGACAAACTAACTAAATTCTATGGTTGGATTTGGTTCGGGGTTATGCACTAAACAGGCATACCCCAGAAAGCTTTGACCAGTGTTTATAACTCTCACCATATTCATTTCTGTGTACTGGGCGGAGGCAACTAAAAACCTTTATTTAGAAGTATTAGCATTAGTACTTCAGAAATAAGCAGCATCAATGTCTTGCAAGCCAAAGTATCCAGAAAAACATATTCGTTCTTTGCGGCACTCACATCTGAGAACCTGGAGTGTGTGCTTAGACAGGCGTGTTCCCAGCGCAAAATGCCCACGTGTGGAGGTACGTGATTTATTACTCTTTCTTTCAGGAGTACTTGTCCAGTGTTGCACCGATTTTTTTATTCTATTTGACAGGAGTGACTGGTTTTCATCGAGATTCAATGATCGAGATTTAGCGTTGCGGCAGGATGGTTAGTGAGAGAGAAAAATTCATGTCTCCATCGATAGGGAACTTGAGTGCGTTGGTTACATCTGATTTAATGTTATTCTTTCGATACTGAATTTGTTCCGATATGAGGAATTCGATGCTTCTCAAAATTGCTTTCTTTCTGAGAAATTCGTGTGTTTCAGGAGCATCCATTGATTTTGACAAATTTAGGATTTTTGGAAGTTTTCATTGATTTTGGGAAATTCAGAATTCAACTGAATTCAAGCTAAGCCCACCAAGCCCCCTAGCCCACCCATCCAAAAAAAACATACCTATAGGGGGACATACACATATATGAATTCAGAATTCAGGTTTGAAGTGAATTATTCTAAAGATCCCCTAGTTCCTCGTTTCGTTTTGAAATGTGGTGCTCTTTTTTCGTTTCAAACTCAGATTGAAATCATAAACCCCATTGCATGCGATCTCTGGTGGATACCAGCCTTTCTGACATATTCACACTCACTTACCCACACCCGCACCCTACTCAGAGCAAACAAATATTGTTGCCGAAGCCCCTTATATTTGAAGGATTACCTGTATTTTATATTTTTATACTGGGGCTGCTGAATGTGAAAGGCAAGAGGTATTATTTGAAAATATACTCAGTTTTATCATTGTTTTAATTTATTTCTTCTGTACCATTCAAGTGTTTCTTTAATAGCTGTCGGAAGTAAAGTCAGTTTAAAGGATGGATGAAATTTTTCAAAACTTGATGTATCTGATGTACGACGGAATGGTCCATCATATTTAATGTCACCGTCGAACTTGAGGCATCCAGTAAAACCCACTTGGTCTCGGACAAGCTCAGCAAGCTGATAAATTGAGACTTCCTGTCCAGCAACGACTAATGGCGCATCCTCATTATAATTTCCTAACGTCCAAATGACAATATTAGCAAGATCACGTGCATACATAACTTGACGCAGAGGTGTACCGGTACCCATCATGATAAGAGAACCTGAAATATCATGTTCTCTCTGATTTTCCATTTTTGCGATTAGTGCATTGACAAGTGGAGCCGTCTTTGGATTAAAATCGCCATAAGCACCAAAAAAATTGCCAGGCAATACTGACACAAAATTACAGCCATGCTGTTTACGATACCATTGTATAAGTTGTCCTAGTGATCTTTTAGCATATGCGTATGATTCTGATGCAGAATGAGGCGGTCCGTCGTATATAAGAGAGGCATCGATTGGAAACTGAGCATTATTTGGAAACATAACTGTAGATAATATCGAAACCACTTTGATTGGTCCATTCCATGCTTGAAATTCAAATCCAGTTTGGAGAATATTATTGTTCATGGTAACATTGCTGAGCCAAAAGTCAACTGGTTTAGCTGACATTTCATGAATTGATGCAAGATGTGCAGCACAATGTACTACGCGCGTTGGTAGAAATCGTTTAAAAATATTTTTCACATCGTCTACTTTGCAGAGATCTCCATCATGGCGTGTCAGAAAGATCCATTCTGAATCCTTGGTCACAATCTTTAACGGTGTTGTACTTGTGATTTTTATGATGGAGCCATCTGCCGAAGAACGTTCGAGGACGATGTCTTGAATGTATTTTCCGAGCATTCCATTACTTCCGGTTACTACAACCACATGATAAGGAGAGAATGGAAATGCTAAGATGACATTAGCAAGCTTGTTGATCACAGTCTGATCGAGTGGCACTTGATGAATACCAATAAAGAAACCGCGTGTATGGATCGCCTCAGCACCAGGATAGTTCTCAGGGTGTTCGTCATTACAGAAAGCTGAGACGCAAGGTTGGCGAACAAAATTACCACTTATGATAGGACGATTTTCTATTCCATTTCTTTCTAGATACTGTAAGAATTCGAGACGTTGGTGTGCATAGACACGATTAAGCAGTACACCTAGACCAAACCATGCAGGATCGACACCATCAGATGCTTCCATTAATGACATTAAGTGCGAAAATCTGTCGTCGCGCGATAGAGTTTCTTTGATGCGTCTTAAATTATCACGACGACATGTGTTAAATATATGGAGTTTATCTAACTGTACATTGAGCATAGCACCTTGAACTTCTAACGGCCTGAAATTATAACCCATATTTACAAATAGAAAGCGAGAGTCAATATCTTCATATTTCTCTTCAATTGTTTGACGATTTGTAAGATGGCGTGTCCAGCCATGAGCACGTAAGCATCGCACAATGTTGTAATCTTCTTCAGTATTACATATAACCATTCCTCCTTCACCACTAGTAATGTGATGCGAAAAATAAAACGAGAACGTACCGAAACTACCAAATGTACCCAACATTTTGCGTTCGCTCCGTATACCGGTTTGACATAAACTTCCTAAAGATTCGCAGGTATCCTCAATCAATATAAGCTTGTGGCGATTAATGAATTCTGTGATTTGTTGCATATTTATAGAATTACCTAGTACATGTACAGCCATAACTGCTTTGACACGGCTTGTCAGTTTACGTTCTAGTTCAGTAAGAGTTACATTAAACGTATGTGGGTCAACATCGACAAAAACAGGACAAAGACCATTTTGAATTAACGGGAAAACACTTGTTGACCAGCATACTGCAGGAACTAGTACGTGGTCTCCAGGGTCGCAGTGCACTCGGCGCAACTTATTTGTTATAGCCGAAACGGCTAGTAAGTTAGCAGAGCTACCAGAATTAACCATTATAGCATATGGAGCTCCAATGAATTCAGAAAATTTTCTTTCAGCCTTTTCTACTTCTGCACCTAATGTTAAGCGGCCTGATAATAATACTTCAGTCATTGCAAGAATTTCATCTTCCCCAAACGGATTCATTGCAAGTGGAAACAAAGCGGTTTGCTTTTCTTTGTCAGCAGCTCGACGAGTATTCCATTCTGTAGCAATGCTTGTACGCCACGATGGGACAATATCACAATCCACAAGAGAATCGGAATTAGGAGGAAAAGAAAAAAGATTGCCACTTGTAGTTTGATCGCACATCTTGATTTTATAATGAGAACAATAATGTTTAATCTAAAGCAACCAAACATAACAGTCTGAAGATAATAAAATCGAAAAGAAGAAATGAATTTAACTGTCGATTTCTCTTCGAAAAAGATATGTGTATACAATCTTATATGATTAAATGCAACACCTTAAAGTGTCCGGATTTTGGGTAAATACAATGTCATTCAGGTGGCCACGCATGGGATAGAACACAACGGATGATCACACAATTACGGTAGCATTGCGTTAATTAATTATTGTCAGGCACGAGATTAGTCAAGGATATAAAATAAAAATTTTAGTGACAAATGAATACAATTTGACACAAAAAGAAAGAAATTAAATTCCTCGATTTTAAATATCTCGGAAATGAAGCTTTCTTTAGACTAAATTTCAAGGGTATCCTAATCAAAAATAGACCTCTCTGCGGTTAAAACTCGGGTCGAAATACTTTTATTCGATTCGCCGGTATATGCTATGTCGCAAGCTGAAATTTTAATAAAATACCTATGATTCGTGATAGAACGCCAACAAATACCTGGCTGGGATCTAGATTATGTACAGATTCCGGATTCAAAAGTGATTTTCAAGTTGAAAATATTCCTTAGACAGAAAAGCTGCCATCTGGAAATAGGTGTAAAATTCATCGATCGAGTTGTCACTTAGTTAAAAAGCTGTTAGCGCAATCCCCGTCGGATTAAAATGTAAAACACGATAAAGCTCCTTTTCTGGCATCCGTCTACACGGTCTGTGATGGTCTGTGGAGCGTCTCTCTCACGGTCTGTATTATGATGTATTGAGTCTCTAGAGACCATCGCAGATCGTTGCATAGACTTCAGAAGCCATCGCAGGCAGTTACACAAGATCTTCAGAGACGATCACAAAGCGTGCCAGACAATCTTCAGACCTAGCAAAGATCATCAGAGACGCTGTTCCAGCCTTGCGCAACTTATCACTGGTATCGGCAAACGAGCTGTATCACAAAATAAACAAATAGCTCCCGTGAGTAAACCATATCTGTGTAATTTTCTGCAGTGACTATGTCGTGTTTCACATTTTTAATCACACAGGGATTGTGCTAACAGCTTTTATAACACAAGCGACCATTTCCGTGGGACAAATGACCATTTTTGTTGTACAAAGGGCATTGTTACGGCAAAAACCATGGGTGGATGTGTGACATGGTCACGTGAAACAGTCCACCCAGGAGATGGGGTTAATGTAGGGGGCGAGCTGATCCCCCTACGGAACTTTGAGCTAATCACCGCGAAATTTCTGAACCATGTATTTTGTGGCTAGGTAAGACTCAACCGCTCCTCCGCCATAAGGACCTTTGAGTCCCATTCTGTCCGTTTTTCGTCTTCACTTTTAGTGCTGTTACTTGAAACCTTTAATTTTCGTCTAATTCTTACCTCAGTTTCACTTATTCCCACCCCCTTTACAGGTCTGTTTGAAAATTTTATCACCAGCTGCTGGCAAAAACAATTGATTTTCTGCCCGGTCCATGTATTTCTTCTCCTCGGTGCTGCCAGTCTACATTGAAAAAAAAGGTATCATACGAAACTAAAAAAATAGTTTCGAAATTTGAAACGAATTCTGAACCATTTTTTAGTTTCGTACGAAAAAGGTTTCGTATAAGACTATTCTTTTTTTTAGCTTAAAAAATGTTCCGTAGTCGATGATTTGCGTGGCGCTTCGTATGATATCGGCCTAGCATAAATATACTGCCAATTCGTTCGCTACAGAGCTCTCCCAACGTATATCCACACTTGAGACACGCATCTGTCTTATTGAAGGCATATATAATCCTGATCCTGTATTTGCCCACTAACCCTTATTTCTATCCTTAACCCCTTAATTCTATACCTTGCTACTTAATTCTGCGTATTTTCTGAAAAACGTTGTTTCCCGATAAACCCTTAGCAGGTTCCAGAGCTCAGAAAAACGAAAACCCAACATGGAACCTGAAATAAATTGAGAGCTAATAGAGATTTCGCTATCATGCCATGTGTCATAAGACCATGAACACGACATATATCGCTATCTCTCGAATATTCACATGTTACATAACCATTCGACTAGATCCATTTGCATAATCTAAAACAAAAGAAGAAATTCATTTGAATTTTTGATTCTCAAATATAACTCACCAATTAGATGAAATTCATTTGAAGAATCTAAAATAGAAAAGGAAATTTTAATGTTAGATTTTCATTCTTGAATGTTACTTACCATTCGGAGGAAAACCCAGCGATAGACAAAAAATCGATCCATGAGATTAATGTTCATTTCAAGCGGAAAATGCCGTTCAAGTCAAAAATGAATTGTTTTCCCGTTCAGTCTATAACAGAAGACAAACTATATAAGTATAAGTCAGCGTGTGCATACTAAATTCATATCGAGTACTTTTGTCGTCACTGTTTAGAAAAGATATCCGTGCATATACAACATATTCCATGTTATACAGAATTTTACAAACACCAAATATGAGTAGTTTTCATTTTTATTTTCATTCTTCACATTCCTTCTTTCCCAACAATTCATTCAAACCAAACTTCTTACCAGCTCTTTGACATTGGTTACACATCACCACAAAACCATGACAGCTTTCGCTTATATCGTAAATGATTTTCGGCATCCCATCTTCATGGAAATTTACCCATCATTGTTTTAACCAAAGTCAACCAAAATCTAATCGATTGTAAATTTTCCCAAGATCCTTAGTACCATACAAACTCCTTTTTCTCCTATTCCGAATACTTGTACGTTCATTTCGATTACATACGAACGCATTTTTATCTATAGGAAAAATGATTTTTCTTTTTTTTCAAACTATTTTTCCCATTGAGTTTTTCATTCTTCCGCTGCAAACTCATTTTTACATTGGTTTGACGCTATTGGGAGAGCGGGATATTTTCGTTACTGTTTTTTTGTTTAGTGTGTGCATCTTAAGGTTAGTTTTTAAGCATTCTTGACATGAACGCCATTTTTTCGCTTGAAACGAGCATTTATGTCACGGATCAAATATTTGTCTAATCCTCGGAAAACCACTTAAAAAATCTAAAACAAAAGGAAAAGTAGTCATAAGTTTTTAATTCTCGAATATAACTCACCAACTGGGTGCAATTCATTCGTAGAAGCTTAAAGAGAAGTACAATTAATTTTCGCTTCTATCAATTCATCCGTTGATTTTTAAGACAAAATCAGTCATATCGGAAGCCTATAGATTTTCGAGCCTTTAGAAACAAAGAATTTACTCTCGGAAACTCTTCAAGTGTTGATAAACATTCTCGAAAACCTTTAAAGATTTGCAAAACGGTTTCCGAGAGAGCTCCAGTTTTCTACGAAACGATTATTTTTTAAAATTAATTCATTATTTCCTTCCTTACCTCTTATTTATTTATCTAAATCGTCATTTCTAGCTTTAAGCCGAAATTCTATATTTAGCCTCTAAACTGTATACTCAGTGTCTTCTGTTTACCACGATCCGTCATTTCTATTCTTCGTCTCTGAACTCTACATCGAACTCCTTCTTTCTATATCCACTCTTATAAGAGTGTGTATAAATTCTTATAACTATGCCTAAGCTATTATATGCTTATGTAACACGTTTTTGTACGACAATCCTTTCAAAACTGTAATCAACTCCTCATAAATATATCGAGCTCGTTACAACTATATATATTCCATTGCATCTGTGTTTAATGACTTATAACTTTGTCTAAGCCCTTATTTCTAAATGCCACTTGTGAAGACTGTTGATCACCACGTACATCTATATCAACATTCTCATAGCTCTGTCTAAATTCTGAGTTGTGTCTACAGTGGACACGTGGACTTAGAATAAATGTTAAAAAGTTGTTAACAGTCTTGTATTTGACTCTGAAGAGATAATCTAATGCTCTTATATTTGTGTTAAAACAGTAACCTAATACTTCAGCATTCATGTTAGTTTAGCATTAGTATAATACAAAATTTATCTTTTCAATATTAGCTATTGGTAGATATATGTATTCAATTGAAGTCTGAAAACAGAGTAGGATTGCTTTGTTAAGGCGACATCGATCGTCAAATCTCTTATACGAATTATCTGAACACTTTATACTGATCTAAGTATGAAAACTTATATTTATTTGAAACACATTTATACCAGAGCTCCGCGTGCGATAGGATGGGGCGCAAAAAATCATCCCCATGGGATGGGAAAACTAAAATAGAAGTTGTCCCGCCATGGGATCGGTCGTCTGAAATGTCAAATATTTTTTAAGATTTCAAATTTGTTTGATTCTCATCGATCGACTGAGACTACGTATTGTAATATTACTTCATGTCACATTTCATGATATTATTGAAAAGAAGCTGAGAGTTTGAATTTCTGTTCTTTTTGCATATTACAATAATGACACCATCCTGGTTATAAATACAGCATTTTAAAAAATGGAGAAAATAAGTAACCTCCCCCCTCCCCCACAATGAAAGACTCTGGGTCTTCTATTATGTTGCAGCGTAAAAATTTTCCAGAGGGGTCTTGTATTAAGAACCGCATTTTTTCCTAATATTTAATTCAAAAGGTTTTCCAGAAAACTAGGACAATTTTCCTGATTTCCATCAGGACTTTCAGGGTTTTAAGGATGTCATTATAATTGTGAACACATTCTCTTAACATTACCAGCTTAAAATGCTAAGAATCAGGCATATTTTGATGGGAAAACGCTAATTAAAGTTCGTAATCAGCAGAAATGAATTAATTAAAGGGGGGTCTTCCCCCCCCCCCCCCCCCCCCCCCCCCCCCCCCCCCCCCCCCCCCCCCCCCCCCCCCCGCGGGAGTTTAGTAAATCAGAAAGGGAAATATTTCATTAAATCCAAAAGCAACTGGAAATAAATAAATAAAAGTATAAAGTTTCAGCGTCAAATCGTTGTACAAGTTTCATATTTTCTATGGAACTAACTGTTCAAAGACATTTCGCCAGCTATAAGCCATAATAACTAAATCA